GGCCTCGGGCGGCATGTACGTCTCCAGACGTGCGTGGAGGTCTGCAAGGGCCTGGTAAAGGGACAAGCCGACGAGGGAAGCGTGGTAAAGCAATGCGAAAACGTTTCTTGTCGTAATGTGGTGACGCACTTGATCGAGCTTGGTCATGTTAGAAGGTGTGGGGAAATACATCTCGTACGAGATTTGCCCGTCCTGTTCCCAGAGACTGTTATCCTCCGACACAGGCGGCGTTGGTTGTCCGTTCCGCGCATGTGGGTGGAGATGCTGTCCACCGTTGTGTCCGTGTCGTTGATGGAGCATGGGCGGCGCGCCGACCGGGGATGGCGGCATGTTGTGGATGTCTTCCTCGGTTGAGCCCTCACGCAGAAGCGTAATCAGATACCGCGACTCGGTGGCCTCGATAATGTGTGACGATAGCCGGAAAGACGGGTTCGGCCGCGGCGACTGGCCCTTGTGTCCGAAAAAGACCAGGACGTCGCCGTTGGGGTCCCACAGCTCCGGATCCTTGCGCAGCTTGTTCCACCGCTGCACGGGCCTCCCGGCGCCGATCCAGCGCTTGATGGGCGGGGTGTTGCCCGAGGACGGCACGGGCGGGAGCTTGGACGACGGCGGTGGTGACATGAGCGAATCGTCATCCCATGGGCTGGCTTGCGACGATCCGGCAAAGTGCACGGGGGAGACATCAGCATCGTAGCCGTCCTGCGCGTCGCCGGAGTAGCCGCCGTGGCTCGGCTGATGCGGTCGGACCGTCGCCGAGGACTGTGGTCTAAAGTCAACCATCCGGTCGGCGTCGCTCCCTTTTTTGTCCTTTTTCCCAAAAGTAAAGGTCTTGGCCAGCCCCTTGCGCACCACGTCGCTTTTTTTGTCGATGATGCTGCGGAAGCCCGATTTCTCGATGCCCGATACGTCCTCCGTCTTGATCGCCGGTCTTCTGGCGCGGGCATAGGCAAAGTCATCAAGTGGCCTGTTGAAATGCGATCCAGCACCCGGCACCTCCCTCCTCCCGTCGATGCTTGATCCGCCGCTCTGGCTGCCGCCGCTGTGATGCCCATAGCCAGACATGTCGTTTTGGTAGCTCAACAACTCACTCTCCCGGGCGGGCTCCGAGAACTTGAGAAAGCGGGCATTGGTCGTGCCGACGCCGGTGATGTCTCGCTGCCTTTCCCGGTCGACATGGCGCATCGAGGGTATGGGGTCGATGGGATACTCGCTGATGGTGGCATTATCGGAGCTGGCGCTCGACTTGGCGCGACTGCGGGCTCCCGACCCTCGCTCCCCCTCCTTGGTTTGTGTGATCTTCTTGCGCACATATGCGCTGCGCCCAGACATGATTACTGCTGTATGCCGCTGTCAAGCAAAGAAAGCGAAAGCAAGCTCGGAGAGCACAAAATATGTCGTCGAAAAATAAGGGTGCCAATATGATCGTCGGCCGTGTCACGAAGATCGCGATCCCCGCGATAAGAGATTCTTTCCGCTCGCTTTTGCTTTTTGCCCACTTATACGACGTGGGGGCCGTTTTTGCGCATGTAAATGACCGAGCGCGTGTTCTGCTGCCGTCGATCGCCAGCACAGATCCCAAGAGATCGGGCCGGTGAAGCTCGAGGCTGGACTTGGGGCCTCACTGGGAACAACGGGTGCGTCGTGGGTTTTAATGCGTGGCCGTGGACATGTGGGCATGTCAGGCGCGCCTTCTGGTGGGTTTCGCGGGCGTCTGTCGCTTATCTGCGTCTGGGGTGTCGACTGTTCGAGGGAGTGAATTATCGCTCAGTCGCACAGCGCCGAGGACATGTGAGACGGAGATGACTCCGGATAGACAGCGGTGTTCGCACGCCCACCGCTTCCAGGAAAGAGGGTCTGGGGAGAGGAGAAAGGGAAAATCTCCAACTGCAAGGCGAGGGGAAGGGGCGGTCGATATTGGGAATGGTCGCAACTGCAATGAAGCAACGAGCAAAACTTCCTCCCGTACCTAACTTGCTTTTTCCGTGGCGGGACCGACGAGACCCTATGCAGTAATCACAGTTATTTACTCGCAGCAGATGGCCGTGGTCCACGGTGCTTGTGCTGCACGCTGCGTTCTTGGGGATCAAGCCGTTCGCTCGGGTCCAATCTTATCTCCCGGAATCTGCCACTCACATCCGAATCCAGAGCAGCGTTTGGCCTTGGGCTCCCTTGCAACTCCCTTGCGCCCTCAACGCCCCGGTCGACAACCGCAGCGTGCGCTCACGGTTATCGCGATTGGGTCAGTCCGTCTGGGGGCAAAGGGGGGGGTTCATCCAAGCAGCCAATCCTTTCGGTTCCCTTTCGAGACGCATCACCGTCCGCCCTTCCAACTGGTCTCCCCAGGCTTGCCCTGTGCAGCCTAGCCTCCAAGCGTATGGCACCTCAGTATCTCTTTCCTCCGACGAGAGAATGCAACCAAGTGGGCAAAGTCATGACGAGTGCAACGCTGCTCAACGAGCGCCCAGGACAGCCCTACCACGAACAAATGGGAAAAACCGGTGGGCCGGCGGGCCAAAGGCCAAGCAACATGAGGGCAGGCGGGCGCGCTTCTCAGTGCAGGGCGCGCAGGCAATGCGGGCTGGGGCCCTGCGAGGGGGGTGGGGCTCGATCCGCTGATAAGAAGCAGAGCAGATGCCGGGATCCTGTCGTGTAATGGTATTGGCACTGATAGCGACCATGTCCTTTGCGGCAGCCAGTCGTCTTCGCCCGTTTGATTGCTCGAGTTGACCCGGAAGTCAGGCATCAGCTCATCCAGCAGACGACTGCAGTCCGAAGCGCAGCTGCTGCGAAGGCGCACAAAGCCTGCGCGCGCAGACCAACGCGGAGGTGCGGGACGCGACGTTGCGCTGCAGCAAAACTTCCCCAGGGGCCGTTTTAGACCGTGGTGCCCCCGGATGGCACCGCGATGCCGTCTCACCGGTGGCCGAGCCGGCTCAGAATTCGATCATAATCGATCGAGATGTCTGGGACGGGCGGAACGGTCAAGACCATTCGACGCAGGCGCACAGAGCGCACGCTGACTGCGCTTCCGTGCGCAACCAAAACCGCCGCCAGCCGGTTGAGCGCGCCAGGAACAGGAGGACAGTTGCGACGTTGCGGCAGTTTGTCGCGTGGTGTCGCCCCGTTTGTGTGCGACTCCCGCCGAAAAGTCATCAGGGAGCTAGCCCCCACCCAGGGTCCAATGAGGCGTCTGCCTTCCCCCACTGCTATGCTGGAACCCCGGCATCGAACAATTGAGCCATCATGCCATCGAATGCTCTATTCCATTTTCATGATGACATCCAACGGGCATCTGAGAACTCTTGGCCGGCGACGCCGTACACACGATGGGTCGGAGCCAAGGCAAAGCGGGCGGCTCGGGTTTGAGTGGCGGGAGGTGAGAAGTCAGCCTCAGCCAGCTCAAGGTGTTGAAGTAAAAAGAATCGGTGCCATGCAAGCCCTAGGATTGGATTGGGGCTCCTTTCTTGCGTGCAGCATTCATCGGTCAGCAAATGTGGACTGAAGTGCTCGAAACCGGCGGGAAACGTGCGCCACACGGGGGGAAGGTGCCACGAACAACACGTGCAAGGGCATGGAATGCTCCTTCCAAAAGCAACCTGGTCAAGAATCGCTCCCGCATCCGCAATTTCAAGATTTCAAGATTGGGCTCCCGTCCCTCCACGATGCAATTTGACGACCGCGAGATGACGAGATGATGAGTCTCTCTCCTTTCGAGTCCTGCGCGCACCCGCTAAAAGCTGACGGCACACATCTCGCTCACAGCATCACACAAAGGCTACGTTCACTTCGATATCACTCCCAAATGCCCCCGCCGACCGCAGCCGGTCGGCCCACAGTTCCGTCCGCTTGGACCGGCGTCTCCCCGGATTGCACGGCAAATCAGCATCGCATTGCCCGTCCGTGCTCTGGTTCGCCCATGCTTAGCATTCCTTAATTCCCAGGTTTACATTGACTTGGGTAACAATGGATCGCCGATTGTCCTGAGCTTCGGGAGAGGCGCCCGTCCGTCGTCCCTTTGGCCCGACGATGAACCACCGCCAGCCTTTGGCGTACGGTGTTGGATGTCATACGTCGGCCAATGTCATGGCTCCATCGCTGACGTGAGAATCGACAAATGCTTTGTTGATGGAGAGTCATCATGATTGGCCCTTCATGCAGCGGCATTCAAGACGGGAGCTACCGCGACCAAAATGCGGCCCCCTGAGTCCTGCAGTCGAACTTCTCGCGAGGAAACGAGCCATCACGCAGCTGAGGGATGCCAAGCGTTCTCCTGTCGCGACTGAAGAGAGACAAGCAAACAGGCACAACCTGCGCGGCAAAGTCCGTTATACATCCCACGCAAACTGCCCTCACTTGCATTTCCACTGCATGCTCTACACGCCAAAACCGAGTAATGCATCTTCCACCGTGGGGACCCCTGAAGCATCTTTGCCCTGTCTTCCCTCCCGCCTACCCTGTCACTAAGGTAAGCATCATAGACTGAATTAGAGCCAAGAGGTTGAGGAATAGGGCCTAGACTGCAATGATCAACAGCTCGTTCCGGTTTGGGATTCGAGATTTAGGGCCTAACTGCATCCTGCTACCCTGACCCCCAAGCCCAACCCTACCGATATGCCCTCTTCAATATTCTCGGAAATGCCGATGCACGACTTCGCGGGTTGTTCGCAATAATTCACTCATCAAAAATTCTATTACTCAAGAATCTAGATCGTGGAACACGGCTTTCAAAGGGTATCAACCTCAATGCAATGCCTAGGTCTGATGAGGGGAGATGTTAGCCGGAATTGCGACATACCTCCACACCAACCCCATGAACATTGACAACCCTTGCAATGTACAACCAGGATCAGTCTTTGCCTTTTTTGCTCTTCCCCCGGCAATAACGGCCGATTCAAGGTGCTTGCAGTGGCGCTCATTTGACTATCCCCGATCAAAACCGGCACCGCCGAGGGGAGTCATTGATATCAGAAACGACAAAAAGAAGACCGATTCAACCCCCCCCCCCCACCCAGGGAGTCGAACCCTGCGCGACGGAACGAGAACCCGCTACGTTAACCGATACACCAGAGGGGTCGGATGCAGTGCTCTTTGTTGAAGGAAGGCACGCGAATTCTGGTTTATACGAAGCAGCACGAAGAGTGGACGGAGGAAGGTGCAGGGCCGGCTTAGTGGGCATCAAGGCAAGAGGTCGGAGACGTGCCTTCCCCATCAGACCGAAAGCAAGGCGGGAAATCAAAATTTAGCTCACCACCGAGCTGCACCTTCCGTGAACGGTCAGGGCTTCAACGAACCTCGCAGGTCCAAGACAACGGCTTGATTCAACGTGGACGTACAGCACAGAAGTGGGCGCCGTTCCTCGACCAGTCTTGAACCACCCACCGAGGACTATGATGTGTCTGTTAACCCTTCCATACACGTATGGTAGGTCAAATCCAGAAGTCCTATCATTGCGGCGACCAGCAACTAAGAGCTGGGCTGACAAAAAATTGCTTTAACTCTCCGAGGTTCATCGGTGAGGAAACGCCGACGGAAGGCACGCCCAGTTTCGAAACCTGACCACTTTCTTGGCCGTTCGTCACAGACCGGGAAGGCGTCGTATCTTACTCTCGTCGGCCTCACGCTTAATCGCCACGTCGCTCATCTTCACCTTGGACTCTAGACGCTTCCACGGCTCTCGAGCAAATCGGCCGATGATGCAACAGTACCAATGTCAACCCCAGGTCGGGACAGTTCATTTGCTGCCACAGGGAGTTCCACGCGGGCATGCGGTAGTCGCCATATCCTTACCTTTGAAATTCGGACTAATGGGTGCAGCTGTCCGAATGGGCTGGGCGCGTATTTCTCTCCCACTCGTGCAAGTCTTTGGTCGTGAACATCATCCAGGATTGGGGAGAAGTTGATGCCGGCGGTTGTCGCAAATTGAGGTTCCACTCGCGATTTTATGACGACCTCTTGGAGCTCGAATCGACTGTATTCCCCAGGCATGTTGAGCCGCAGCGCTCCTTAATATGTTGTCTTCCGTTGCATCGCGTCACTAGAACGACAGCAAGGCGCTACAAGTTGCCATAACGAAGGATGCTAGAATAAAGCCTTGCAGGTTAGTGCAGACTAGCAGGGCCGTGGAAAGGTCGAGGGTCCACACAGCCTCTGGGCCGGCGCCGTGGTTTTGTCTCGGAGTCGGTTGAAGGTTCCGGACCCCAGCGGGTCGTTGATCACCGGCCGGGGCCCATGGCTCACATCACATCAATGCAAAGCCGCCAACAGCACATCAATGGGGCAAAAAGAAGATCAACGGGTCGTGCCAACAGAAAAGGTCTGTCGACGCGACCAGTGGCGGGCCATTGATTTTCTTGGATGCGCATCCTACCCGCCCAGGATGCAACACCTCTTACACCTCGGCCAGCTGGTGAGACAAGGGGCTCCATTCCACGACACCGCTGCAGGGGCGCAAAATGCTGGCTGGAGCTGAGTGTTTTGCGGAGTGCGCCGGCTAAAAGGGCAGCCCTGGTATTGGTTTCGCAGATCATCTGAAACGGTGGCTAGGGCCTGTCCATCACCCCCTTGGCCCAAATACAAGTGCTGTGTGGCTGAATTGGCGGCTCCCCGTGCACGCGGGATGATCCCCAGCGATCTCCAACTACCGCCAACCTAACAGGTCGGCAGCGTCTTGGCTCAACCCCGTCTTCGGGAATTCTTGTTTCTTCATCCCATCCTTGACCAGGAAAAATCAGAGGAAAAAGTTTAGCTGGGCGAAGATCAGAAACAGGATGAAAGCAGCCTGTCACCATCCCAAAACCCAACTCATTCCCCTTTCCCTCTCCTTCCCTGACCCCCGTTCCCCACTAAGGTTCTCGGAAGCTGATGCATGATTCGGGAAGCTACAGAAAAGGTGTGGTACACCTTCGCCGCCGCCGCCCATCACCCACATCGGCCACGGAGGTTGACGTACATATAGATGGTGAACCCCCCTGATTCGGACTGAGGATTTCCCTTTCTAGTCTTTTTCTTCACCGACGCCTACATACACCAAACGTCCGTGGTTCTTGTGTATCTTCTCTTTTCGCTTCTCTTCTTTTTTTGGCTGCTCTCACGGCTGGACCGTTTTTCTTTCTCTCACGCTCCTTTTTACTTTCTTCCATCGAGGCCAGCACTCATTTGCTCCGAATCACACAATGCATCTCCACAAGTTCCTCTTCTTCGCCCTCCTCACATCCTCCGCGTCGGCTCTTCCTCGACGTCGCCCTCAGATCCGCCCACCGCAGAACCCGGAGCAGTTCGACCCTCCCGCACCCAGCGGCAACGGTGGCCGTGGCCGTGGTGGAGGAGGAAATGGTGGCGGCGGTGCTCCACAGGCTCCCCCTGCCCCGCCCGTGAACAACAACCCGCCTCCTCAGGTGGCGCCCCCTGGAAATGGCAACGGCAATGCCGGAGGCGGTGGCGGAGGCGGTGGCGGCGGTGGTGCCGTCAACACGGCCGTGATCCCCAACGACTTCGGCATCGTCGCCGGCTCTGGCCGTGATCAAGTCCAAGCAGGTGCTTGCACTGGCGCCAACAACGCTCCCATCCCATGCAGCTGCCCGCCAGCACCAAACGACCCTCAGTTCCTCAACAGTCTCTCCCAGGCTTTGAGTCAGGGTTTCTTCCCTGACCAGAGCGTGTCGACGCCCATCTCCCTCCAGGCTTTCAACGACGCTTCGGACCAGAGCGAGGCCACGAACCGCCAGAGAGCAACGGCCATGGTGCAGGTTCTGCAGAGCTTGTCAGGGACCAAGGGACAGGGATGTCCCGGTGTGTCGTACCCCAATCTCGTCAACCAGCAAAGGACGGGCATTGCGGCTTGATAACGACACCGATGACGGGGAAGGGGGCCTGGGTGGCATTTTCGATTCGTAAAAAAACCATGTTTTAGGGAAGGATAGTCGAGTGAGTTGGGCGTTTTGATTGGACTCAGTATTACAAGATGCATGACTGGGAATGGCTTCGATGGATATAGCAGTGCTTTGAAAAAGGAATAGCATAGAGCAACAAGGGCTTTTTATTCGTTTTTTTTTTGTCAACCAAAAAATCATCGCTTCGTTCTGCGCTACATGTTTTAACATGAGTTCGTCTTTTATCTTCGTCAACGCCTTTTCCAACTCGAACAAAAATTTTCGAACCACGCTCTCGGTCTTTTTAGAAAACGATCCTTGGATCCCATCCCACGGCCAACACCCTGGCGGTTGTATAACAAATCAAGGCAAGGGTGTACGCTACCCCCGAGAACAGGATCAAAGCCATCCACCCCTTTTCCCCTCCGAGTCCCAGCAATGCACCTCCTATGGGCACACTGCTCAACGTGCCAAAGCTCGCGACCATCATGACCGTTGAAAAGAACCGTCCGTACTGTCTCGAATCACACAACTGGCCCAGACAAACGGGGACCAAGCCTAGGTTACTCCCGCTCGCGAAACCAAACAGGACTGAATACCCGATTAGCATGCCCTGTGAGTGTCCCGCCGGCAGCCACAGTGCCAGCACCGTGATCACGCATAGCGCGATGGTCAGGATGATGACGTTGAATCGCCCAAACCGATCGGCTAGGAAGCCCGGTAGCACTCTTCCAACCACGGACGCGGCGTTGAGATAGGATAGCAGTACATAGCTGCTGGTGGCATCCTGGCTGTGTGCTGCCGCGTAGGAAATGATGAATGTCAGGGGGATGAATAGACCCCATTCCATAAAGACGATACCGAGGGATGCCACTGCGAACCGGGAATCGCAAAAGATGGTCAGGTCAGGCCAGACCGAGGCCATCTTGTCGTGGGCCGCCGGTGGGAGACGCGTGCGGATGAAGAGGTTGGCCGGGACGGCGAGACCGAGGAGGATGAGGGAGAGGATGCGGCATGACCAGGCGAAGCCCTGCGTGGGTAGGAGGTGCTGGAGGAGGATGGGGAAGACGATACCGCCGACGCCGCCTGATGTGGTGGCGATGCCGGTTGCCAGACCGCGGCGGCGGTGGAAAAAGTGGGCAATGGCGCCGTAGGCGGGACAGTTGAGGAGGGCACCGCCAAGGCCACCAAGGACCGAGTAGGTCAGGATAATTTGGTAGTAGGTCTTGCACCAGCTGAGGAGGAGGAGCGAGGCCGTGATTAGGATACTGCCAACCAGTACGAGGATGCGGCCGCCGTGGCGGTCGAAGACGGGGCCCACTTGGATGCCGACAAAGAAGACGATGAAGAGGTAGAGGGAGAAGATCCAGCCGATCTCTGAGGGGTTGTAATCTTTGAGCTGGTTGGTGGAGAAGTAGGATTCGAAGACGGCTGATGAGTTGATGAGCCCGAAAACGGAGATCATGGCGCAGAAGGAGCCGAAGACCACGAGCCAACCCTGGAGACCACCTTCGGGGAACTCGAGGGTCGCCGTCGATGCGACGCGCTCCACGGCCGCGCCATAGTTGTTGTTGCCGTTGCCGTTGTTGTCGTTGTCGTTATCGGAAGAGGAGAGATCCGCGACAGCCGTTTCTTGGTCAGAAGGGAGCGGCTCCTTGGACGTGAGGGATGCGGCTTTCTCCACATCCACTGTGGGTTGGTTGTTTAGGCAGGTGTCCTCTGCATTGCAACTCTTCGGGGTCATTTATTCCGCCACCGAACCAACACGGGCCTTGGCGGGTGGTGGTGATGTTGGTGCAGGGGCAGGGGCAGGGGTGGTGGTGGTGGTGGGATGGAAGATGGCTGAGAGATTCAGGTTGATTGAAACGGCGGCGACATGTTTCCTGTCGACGACAAAGTCAAATGGAAGAGAGAGGGAGGCAAAAAAGAGTGTTCCACACCCAAGCATGGATGGAACCCGAACCTAAAAAAACCATCTGTTTCCATTTTTCACGTGGGTATCCACTAGGATTACCAGCGCATTCGGAACGGGATCCGAGCGACAGAACCACGGTCCGCCCCCCAGTGCTGGTTGCCCATTTTTCGGCACTATTTTTTGTTAGCGCTGTTCCCGAAGACCAACTCACTTTGACGTAAGACCAATGGGAATGAAGCTCTCCGGCCCCGGGCCTGCCGAGAACGGCTCCCGGCCTGCCGGACTTTGCC